GTCATTTCCTTCTCCAGGGAATCATCCTGACCCAGGGATCAAACTCTTGTCTCCTGTGTCTCCTGCATTGCAGGCAGATTCTTTACCCACTTTAACCCAAATATAAGACAGTTATTTAGATCTCTGCAAATGGACCGGCCTGCCAGCTCACTCTGTATCCTTCAGGTCCCTCCACTTCAGTCAACTTAATTGCCAACTGAGATGTGAGTTACTTGATCTGAACTTTCCCACCTCCTTGCCTTTGTGCATGTTATTTCCCTCTGCTGGGAGTGACCCTTATACCCCAGCTCCAACTACAAAAAAATCCAACCCTGGAAGGCCTATATCAGAAGTATCCCTGGTTAAGTCTCTAATTACAACATGTGGAAATAATCTCTTCCTCCCTTGTCCTCCAGAACTTTGTTGGTGCCCTCTTGGGCCACAGCTCACTGTGTAACAATAATAATCATGAAATAAAGAAGGAGCATGATCATAGCAGCTAATACGTACTGAAAGTTACTATGTACCAGGCACTTTAAATGTGTCATCACGTTCAATCCTGACAGTACCCTTTGAGGCTATTACCTCTTATGATCACATTTTACAGATGAAGATCCGAAATGCAAAGAGGTCCATGAGGCGCAATGGTGATCCAATATGATATGATGTCAGATGTATCACCATAAACGTTAAGCTTTTGTGCCTATGATCCTTCGCTATACCATCAGAGTGATATGGTATAAATCAGACAAAATTCTAACTTCCAGGAAGACCAGAGAGCCCATGTTCCTGATGACTACAATACTGACTATCCTTGTTCTTCCTACTGAATTTAAGCTCCTTCAGGAAAAGGACTGTCTTTCTCTATTTCTGTCCCCTACAAACACTGTCTAGCATAATGCCCTGTACATGGAAGATGCTCAGTAATGTCTTATTAACTGAGCACTGAATTAACACAGAGCAGTTCTTCCTAGAGGCAACATCCAACTCTTATAATCCACCTCTCTGCCTCCACAAGGAAATCAGATGGACAAAGCAGCCCACAGAACTGCCCAGCATCTCTCCTCTCCACCAGCTCTATATACAAGGCCACAAAACTAAAATAGTTTTCACCTTCTCCCTACACTCACATTGTAAGTGACCAGAAAGAATTCTTCCCTGGTGCTATTTCTATTTAGCCTCCCAACTGAGGGGGCTTCCCATGTGGCTCAGTGGTAAACAATCTGCCAGCCAATGCAGGAGACGCAACAGATACAGGTTTGATCCCTGGGTTGGGAAGATCCCCTGGAGGAGAAAATGGCAACCCGCCTCCAGTACTCTTGCCTGGAAAATCCCATGGACAGAGAAGCCTGGTGAGTTACAGTCCATGGGGTCTCAAAGAGTCAGACATGACTTAGAGGCTGAGCACACACCCGTGCACACACATATGCACTCCCAACGAAGGGCATCTCCCCTTTCCTCTGCAAAACTGCCACCCTCAACAACCTAAGGAAAAGCCAAAAGGAACCAGACTGTCTAGGTAATGATCCGTGATCTGGAACTAAAAAGATAGGCTGCTCTCCCCTTCCCCTTTCAGACTTCCTAAACCTAGTTTCTTTCCAACCAAATCACACCACACTGGTTTCTGTACATCTTTGACTATATTTTGACCTTATTCCTGAGTACACTGATGCGCTCGTATTCTCTGGATTGCTCTGAAGAACAATCGGGGCTCAGCTCTTACCTAAGGTGCTGCTAGGTCTTACCCCAGGTAGCTTTCTAGAACTGAGTAAGTACTGACTAACAAGAAGGTGTAAGCTCCTGGTATAATCGAGGTCCTCCTTCCATTCTGGCTCTTAATCCAGCTCCCACCATCAGTATGAGCATTTTAACAGGGGAAATAAGAAGGACTTCTAGTCCCAAAAGAATGAGGCGATAAAGGTAAAGGGATCAGCAACAGAGCTGTAATTTGGGACAAGTGCTGGTCACCAAAGCTGGCTCTAAATTCTGCCTCCTCTGGGCTCTCATAAGCTATGTTGCTGTATTGTTTTTGATTTTTAAAGATTTTTTTTATATGGACCATTTTTAAAGTCTTTTTGAATTTGTTACAATACTGCTTATGTTTTATGTTTCAGTTTTTCCACCACAAGGGATCTTAGCTCCCTGACCAGGGATCGAACCTGTGCCCTTGCATTGGAAGGCAAAGTCTTAAGCACTGGACCACAAGGGAAGTCCCCCATGTTGTTGTATTGTTCAGGGATATGAATTCCCCACATCATCTTTTACTGTAAGTTATTTGCTTTGGTCATAAGCTTAGACAGACCAGCAAAATACCCTGAGGAATGTGTGTGTGTGTGTCTGTGTGTACACACATCTATTTACGAAGTGGTAGATGGGGCCACAGTGAATTGTGATATATCAAATAATATGCAAGTTTTATCTTATGTCACTCATCTGACAGCCTTGCATTTTCAAAACTAATAAAAAACATAAGGAAACTGCTGCACAATCACCAGCCAAGGAATCTTGGCCACCAAGCTAAAAATCTAGTCATTTGTGCTGTACATTAAGTGTGAAGGCAAGTATCATAGTTTGAGGTTTAAATGGGCAAATCAATACCTACAGGAAATCGACAGTTGCATGGCCAAGTTTTCTTTCAGCCAATGCTTTCTTTGTCAGTGCCTTCTGATTACACATACTTGTGCAGTCTAGGCATTGCTTCTACTTTGCTTTTGTTTAGGTTACTTAATATTCCTCCTCTTCCAAGAGGCAGAGACTGCGGGTATGGGAAGCAGGGCAGAGACCATCAACGGTCAGTAACAGAGTCACAGGCTATGTCCTATTTCCCTGGCCAGGGCACTTTCTGTCAGCAGCTGTGGCCCAGAGGGTTAACCTTCCAGCCATGTGTCCCTGATCACCTGGGAACCCAGAATAATCTGTTCCCTCAACGCTTTCTCCCAAGAGCCATCATCATCCCTCAAAGAGCTCCACCACTTTCTAAACCCACGCCTGTTATAGTGAGCTGCACAGGAGGGCAGACTCACCCTCAAGCTAAGAAAAGCCCTCTGGAGCGGGACTTGCAATCTTCTTTCACAGTCTTTTAAATTTGCCCTAAGCTGCACTAAGAAAACTCCAAGGACTTCCTCTCTTATGAAAAAACAAATCTCTTTCACAGAGAAGCATAACTTCTCAGAGATTCATAACCAGCCAAACACCATCACTTCTCTTGCAGCTGAAAAAAATTACATTTCTCCTTGGAGAAATAAGCTCACTTGTTCTTTCACTCTATTATTTTCTTTCTTTATCACAAGAAATTATGCTGACCAAAATAAAGTATTTCTAATAGCTACAAGAAGGACAAAGACTGCACTGATTTCTTGAAACTACTGCCAACACAATACTGTGTTTAAGCACATCAATGACTAAACATATATTTTCTCTAAAGATAGCTGGAAAAGATGTTCACATGTATGTTTTACTTTCTCCAGTATAAACTGACCACAGCCCGGACTCAAGCACATTCGTTTTTCCAGTAAATAGGAAAAAAGTAAAAATATGGCATATTACTGTAAACAGTATCTCTAAAAAGAAGTCAGCTATCCCCCAAAGCATTTCAATATCAAAACATAGTATAAATGGCCCCTATGGTCTTCTGCTAGAAAACCAGAGTCACAGAGTGAAACATTAAAATGGAAATAAATGAAAAGGGTTTCCCCCTAATAGGTAACACTAGCAACCCTGGAAGTTTAAGAGCCCTAAGATGAAATGCGAGGTGAGTTAAAATTTCAGGAAAAAATTGTATTTATAAGCAGTAAATTTGCCTGTGGACTGATTGGTCAAAGGACGACACACAGAATAAGTGATGCTATCGTAACCATGCAGACTGTGGGGGGGGGGAAGGAGTTTCTCACTGTCAACATCTAGCTACTGTGGCTAGAGTGAGTAAGAACTGTATTCTTCTCTCTTCTCCTGCTCTTTGGACATTTTTTTTTTAATGAATGGTTGGTATCAGAGCTAAGTCCAAAGACTATTACATGTGCGATTTCCTAATGTGTTCGGCCAAAAATCTAAACAGAAATGAGACTACCTCAGAATGTCACAAGTGAGCATCCTCATTCTCTTTCAGTGTTTTCATTTAGTTGCAGCAAATGTTTTGCTTTAATGCAATTGAAAAGAAAAGAACATTTAGGGACAACATAGCTAGATCCCTCATAAAGCTTCATTTTCAAAAGCAGTGTTTGAATCTCTAAATAAATGACAATTCATTCTCTGTTTACTTTAGGTAAACAGAAAATGCATTGCGGAGCACTCGTTTTCAAAAGCTAATCAAGAACATTAGGTCCCAACAGATTCATTTAATAGAAATATAATAGGCATTCCTGCTCTCTTTTCATCTTGTCTCGCTGTAAATGCTAAAATGAACAGCAAATTAACCCTGCGTTGGAACAGAGTCCCTGTCACAGCTGAGATCCTCTCTCTCACGACTTGGAAACATCCCCGCATCTTGTCGCTGCTTTGACTTCTACATAGGAGAGACGAAAGCGCCTGATTGAGTTTGGCAAGAGAGTGCAGGAATACTTGAATTCTAAAGGGAGTACTGCGTGTCAACTCTGCTATCTTTCCTAGCAGAACAAAATATTACCATGTTGTCGCCTAAAATAGTGTACAATTAGGAAGTAGGAGGAGGGAAGGGGGTGGAATTGTTGTGTTTTTTTTTTCTCTCCAAGCTTACATATATCAACTGTCTTTCTCTATATTTTTAACTTTACTAGCCATTCTCCAAATGGCTGCTAATCAACTACTATACAGAACAAACTAATAAAGACAGGGCCATCCAAGCTCTATAATCAGATATAAAAGATGTGCAAACAATGTGAGATCTTATACTTCATATTCAGTGATATCAGAATTAGCATTAAGAACTCTATACAGAAAAACTATAATACTTCAAAAATTATGTAATAATGAACAAACCCTTTCAAAAACTGTTTTCACTGTGCTAAAGTAACATTCTAGACTTGTTGTAAGTATGTTATTCTTACAAGTAGTTCGCAGTTATTCTTGAAGGCAAGCCTTGGAGTTTCCTTAGCATAGTGCTGCTGGGGAAAATTTTCAGCATGTCCATCTTCATCTCTAGCCTGAAGGGAAATATAATGGCCTATTTAGGGACTTACAAATAATGGAAGAAAAAAAGCTAAAAGCATAACAGCTCAGATCATTAAACAAACGGGAATCCAGAAATCACAACATCATTAAGAAATTTGTTTAAATACGCAGTACGCCTTTTAGATATCAAAATTTAGGATTTATTTTTCTTTACATAGCTCAGTTCGAACATGCAAATTCATTGTGGTGTAATATTTTAAATGATACGAAACAAAACAAAATCAAATAATTTTGCTGAAAATTACCACCACTTCAGACTTCCAGTGACTTTTTTTTAATGCACATTTAGGATTATATGACATACATACGTGTTTAAACTTTTTGGCATGCTTAAGCAATTTGTAGATAATGCACTTAAAAAAAATTCTAATAGCAAGGCCATAAGAAAAGCAATTTGCATAGTTATATTTTGCATTGTCATACTATTAGAGATATACTGATTCCCCTCAATTTTTAAATAAAGATCTGAAAGGAGCAATGATCTAGTAAGAACAATGATTCTTAAATCAAATGCAGTAAAAATAAAAAAGATTTAATTAAGAAGCTGCATTAAAAGTTACTGGTTATTTTCATCTACACTGTTAATTAAGAAAGCTGAAGTTTAAATGGAGACATTAACAGAACCCATTAGCAATACCCCTTGCATACAGTCTTCCCTTTCTAATCTCCATCAGTTTCTGGTTTGGAGTTGGAGAGAGGAAAACGGTAGGTGAAAGGAGGCGTGTCCGCAGCGCGCTCATTAAACCATCCATTTGGTGACACTTGCACTCCACTCTGCTCTCCTCTTATCTCAGCCCTAGCTGCTCTCTCTTTCCTGGCCCTTCTGAAATTCACAGCTGAGCTGTCTCCCTCACATATGGCTTGCATATAATTATGCATATTCCATTTTGCACTGCATTAAAATGATGAGCTCCTGGCTCCCTGCCAGCTGATTTTAAAAAGCCCAAGTGAAGTAGGAAAAAGGAGAGAAACACAGGGAGAGCCGCATAGGAAGCAGCAGGTAGTTCTGTCTGCTGTCTCTTTAGATAAAATGTATGTCTGGCACCAGGGGAACAGCTGAGAACTACCTGTTGTGATGTATGGATTGAGGGGGAGAAAACAACGCGCATACGTCGGCAGAGCGGTGACAGCGCCCAGCATTGTTTCTCTTTTAATGGCCTCAAAGCTGCCCCTGACAAGTACCACTCGGAGCTCTCAGCTAGACTAGGGATTGTCAGTTTAGAAAGGGATCCCTATTCGGTACATTTTAGAAGGGGCAGCTTGTCTTTAATAAAGGCTTCTGCTATTTATTACAGGGAGGGAACTGATGGGATTTGCAAGTGGACTGTCATGGTAGGAATACTGGGATTACAAGAAGTATTTTTGAGATTTACACACATCTCCGGGATTTTGTGCCTTTTAATTGTCCCTTCCCCTGCAACCCACCACCAGATCAGAGTAAAATGAAAATGTAGTTGCAGGATTGGACTATGTGTGACAAAGAAAAAAGTGTAAGCGTGCTCATGCCCAGTGGCTATCAAGGCACTGGAACCAATGATATTTCTTCTCCCAGCATCAGTCCTACTTTGCAGCTACATCAGAGAGTAAGCCAATAGAGCCTTAAAGGGGGCCCATTTAAGCAGACTATATACATAAAAGGCAGCAGTATGAAAAGCAATAAGATGCCAAAGGGTAGCAAACATGTCAGATTCTTCTTAAGTGAATTTTAAGGCACTCTGTAGAGGTACAGGTCTCTTGAAGGCAGAGACCACATCTATTTCATCTTTCTTACTCTCCTACACCCAGCACCTCACTTTCAGTTAGTTCTTAAACATTTCCGTGATGAAAAAAACCCCATACATGGATAGTAACTAGACCTAAGCACAACTCTGTAGAAAAATGCCACCTCAAAATATGCTAAACTTGGTGGTAGGTTTATTATATTCCTGATGCACTATGATGCAAATGCTTGGAAACATACATTGCATATAGTTTGCAAGGGCTACTATTTACATATATATGTCTATATTCAATATATATGTATTTTGTGTATAAATATTCATAAGGTGGAATATGTTTATTATGCATGTACTATGTATACACATTCATACACACCAGATGCCTGGGGATATTTTCAACATTAGTGGCAAAAATACATTCATTTCACTTACATGTAAGGTGCTCACAATGCTTTTTCTGTTTTTAAAGGATGAAAAAAAACCCCATTAAGATTTGAATGTGCTTCGTCAAAGGGGCCACAGATTTTATATAAAGCCTCATAAATTATGAGGTTAAATAAAACAGCAGGGGGAAAGAAAGGAGAAGGAGGGTTGGAATGATTAGGAGTGGTGAGAGAAAGGCAGAAATTTGCTTCTTTATTAAGCCATGTATTTGCCTCTGCATCACACCCCATGGAGCTTGGAAGGGTCTGCCTCTGACAATGAACCTGATTCTTGAGTCTAAGAAATTCCATCCCCCAGCCACTCACTGCGTTTCCACCACACACCAGAGACGGAACGCACACGACACACAGGGAGACCCAGCACCATCACCCTCGAGTGTGTGTGCACACACAAGCGCTCACACACCTCTCACGGAAGTAATCCCCTCTGCATTCTCAAGTTTTTGTTAACATAAAAGCTTAAATTACTTCTACCAGCCTAAGTGAAATTAGGTGAATCCATCTAAGGCAGCAGTTCTCTGCTCTGGCTACACAGTAGAATCATCTGCAGTGGTTTTTAACATATTGGTGCCTGACCCCCCAACCCCGCCACGTTTCCAAGATTCTGATTTAATTGGGCCTTGACACGGGTGGTTTCGTTGTTGTTTTAAGCTCTCAGGTAACAGTAATGCACAGGCAGCCCAAGAAGCACTGATATAAGAAGTCTGCCTGGAGGGGAGAATTGAGAGGAGACCCCGAGTGAATCTGGATGGTCTACAGCCAGGCCCCAGGCCCTCTGGAGTGAATAGCTATGCAACACTAGGAAGACCCAGGATGTGGACCCAGCAGTGGGGCTTTCTCTGAAGATTTAAGAGATTACATGGCTAGTTGTGGTGGTCTTGTTGCTAAATTGTGTCCGACTCTATGCTACTCCATGGACTTAGCCTGCCAGGCTCCTCTGTCCTTGGGGATGTTCCAGGCAAGACTACTGGAGTGGGTTGCCATTTCCTTCTCCAGGGGATTGTCTCCACCCAGGAATCAGACCTGGGTCTCCTGCACTGCAGGCGGATTTTTTGCCAACCGAGCTACCAGGGAAGCCCCACATGGCTAGTTGCTTATAAGCAAAAAAAAAAGAAAAAATCTACCTAGTTTTAGTTTCGAGTGTGACAATCTTGGAAGACCTACTATACCTCATTCTAAAAAGACCTTCCTGAACTTCACTAACCAAATCAAATAGCTCCCACCTGCCTCTCTTAGGCCTGACAGAGACGCACCCTCACACTGGCTGCTGTGACTTCTGTCTTCCCCACCAGACTGCGAGTTTCCTAAGGGCTTCTTACCATTGGATCTTTGGCCCCACTCACTGACTGGAGCCTGGGAAGTGCTCTGTAAGAACGAGCTTCATTATCATTCCATACCAACCGTGGCAACGTTAAATAAAACCCACTAGAACTTCCTTACCCTACATGCAGATTCACTTCAACATGTTTTATAACCTCTTATATGTCAAAGCCAGTGCCTTCTTTTGCATCAATCCCATTGTGGGTGGCAGACAATGGCATACCAAGGTGGGTGGACAAAGGGAGCCCCTGACCCCTGCAGGAAGCATGTGCAAACACTGGAATTTCACGAAATCACTGCTCATAGTAATAACACAAAGCAGATCGACTTTCAGCTGGTTTAACTATTGTTCTTGAATTCTCTACAGATAGTGCCCCCTCTAATTGTCCGTCTCGAGGGAGACCACTGCCATGGGCTCTTAGTAACTACTGGGGCCACAAGACCCATGTTGGTGTCTGAGTTCATTTTAAAGTGACCAGTTTGGACAGAAGCAATGTCAAGACACGTCATGATGAACTAAGTCTCTCCATGTGTCTCATTCTCAATAACTTCATTCTGACTAATATGCTAGATATTTATGCCAACTATGGGGAAAAGCAAATGGGAAGCTGTTTTTCACATTTTACTACAAATGTGATTGTAAGACCAAAGGTGTATTTTTGATCTATTAATCTAAGAAACCTTCACTTCTTGCCATTAAATAGAAATTAAGAAGTCCTTCAACTAAACTGCAAAGGGATTTCCCCATCTTGCTGCCAGTCATGCATCTATTTTCATGCCATGCCTAATACTTGAATAAATAATAGATTATGTAAGAAGGGTTTCCCAGGTGGTGCTAGTGGTAAAGAACCTGCCTGCAGATACAGGAGACATAAGAGACATGGTTTTGATCCCTGAGTTGGGAAGATCCCCTGGAGAAGGAAATGGCAACCCACTCAAGTATTCTTGCCTAGAGAAGTGCATGGACAGAAGCGTTGGTGGGCTATGGTCCATAGGGTTGCAAAAAGTTGGGACTTAACTGAAGCAACTTAGCATGCAAGGATATGAGAAACTTGGACTAACTGCCTCTCTACCTCAAAGAGCTCTGGCTTAAACAACTTTTTAGCCACCTCTCTTTCCCTGTGAATCATCACTAACTTTCTTTTTAGATATTGATTCTTACATATAGCAAAATTTAGTTCTCTTTCAAAGAATCCACTTCTTCCTTTGGGTTAGAGCCTTGGTGTCATGTGCAGATCCAAGCAAAGTTAGCATTTTTTCTCCTGTGGAGGACTCCTTTAGAAAATGTGGAACATTCTAAAAACAACTGCACTACCTACCCAGAAAAGTGAGATGTCTCTGACTCAATGAAAAGGTTAATACTCTTGCCATTTAAGTGGAAAGAAAACTAGGCTTCAGAGTTAATACCTCCCTGCGATGAATAGGGTTTTACACTTCCACGTCATTGTGATTTCAGAATTTCTTTTGAAAACAAGAAAAGGTTCCGCCTAG